CGATTTGTTTTATATGGTGTTCTTGAGGGCTCTTGTTTCTTTTTTCCTTCATTGAGGAATTACTTATCAGCTACTGTTTCATAATTGATCAGCAATTATCCTTGACACTTTTATCGCGGGAGCTGTCTTTAACAAAGCATTGGCTGAATAAATGGAGGAGGCACACCCACGGTGCTTCCTGGAAAGGTCGGTAAATCGGTCTCCCGGAGAGTTGAGAGATTGCAAAAAAAGTCCGTAACTCAAGAAAACAATCTTTCGTCATGTCTGCGGTGTGCTGAGACCCGCCCACCGTGGGTAGAGGGTATCCCCAAACGTGAGGTACTCTATTGAAAGAAAAGTGGTTCTGTTCCGGAGCACTGTAGGACACCGACAAAGAGTGGCTCGATGTCAAGATGGGTCACCGGTTGAGAAGTGCGTCGCATACTCATTGTGTGCAGGGCCGGTGCGGCGAGGTGGGGAGGGGGCCAAACGGAAAAAATCGGTGATGAGTTCCCAGAGTACTCCTGACACAGCAAGAGGTGAGCAAAGTATGCAGGAACTTCACTTCTGAAGTGAGAGAGACAAGCCCATTGTGAGCGAAGCACGTGTTGAGGTCAGCGGAGCAAAGTCAACAATTAATGAATTGATTAGCAGCATATCCAGCAGGAACAAATAGATTGAAGTCCAGAAGGGGTTAGTGGGCGAATGGGGGAGATATCCTCAAAATGGGTGGGTCGTACTCGAGAGGGACTTAGGCGACTTTGGAGATCCGAGAAAGCTAGTAATGCTGAAATTAGCAGGTATAAAGTCATTGGTCAAGGAGCGTTGACAATCCGTACAGGTGAAAGAAAAGCCGGATATTAGTTGGGATTTTATACGTGTAGAAGAGGGTAAGCACGAAGAAGCTGGTCCGTATTACAGAAGCAGGCGCGCCCGCGTCGGCCGGCAAGCCGATTGATTGAAAATTTGAACAACTTTTCCAATCATGACAGCCAATCGGCTTGCCGGCCGACGTATCTGGTCGTATCAACAGATGGAGGGACACGTGTAAGGAGTGGAAAACTCGCGGCAGCGCGTATGCAGTGTGGGCCAAGCTATTTCGCAGCGATGCCGCGGCCAAGAGATGAGAGACGAGATGCCCTCCCCCCCCCCCTCCCGCCGCTCGACAGCTCGATGAGAGGGGAGCCAGGGGATCGGGGATCGTACAAGCCCCCTGAAATAGGGCGGTCGTAAGGACTTGACCAAAATCCCCGACTTATGATGTGCCCTGCAAGTAGGCCCTATGCTAACCACTCCTTCCCACCTCATTCGCGTGCGCGTGCGTTTTTGACCGGGGGAAGGGCACGCCGCTGCATCTGCGGCCACGGCAAGGAACAGTATTGACGAGAATGAGTTAAAGATTGAAGATGTCCTACAACCACAGGACGGCTCACATCCTATTCTACTAGGGTTGAAAACTGACGTTCGAGCAACCTACAGGGGGGCCAAAAAAAGTCACTTCGACCGAGTCACATATCAGCAAAGTTTTCGCAGCCCAGAGAGAAGACGTGGATACGAGTACCAGGGCGGAAGATACCCAAGATGTTCCTCGATAAGCAGGAGCTGGCTCTCGCCCATCACCTTCATGTACACCTAGGTTGTTCGGAAAGGAATGCGCGTTGACTTTGTCTATTTATTTCTCTTCTACTATAGGAGATTTTTCAAAACAGTTTTGTCCATTAGAGAGAGGTTTTTATTGCGCATCTTTTGATATATTTTTCTATGTCTACCTTGTTTTTTTAGAGATTCTGATTCGCCCTATTACAGTTCTCTCTCACTTACTGAGCGTTTGTATTGAAGCGGCCGCGCGTGTCGCTGAGCGTTCGAATTGTCGCGTTCAACTGTCGTGTCGCTTGTAAATGGAACAGCTACCATTCGCTCACAGTTGTTAGCCAGACAGCTGCTCCCGCTTTAATCTCTTTCTTCGCGGTATTCACCGTTTTTGCAGGACTATTCTCATTTTTACCTGCTTCTTTACTCTCTTTTCAGTTTGGCATTTAATTTTAATGTAGTATTTGACGAGGTCTTGAGCTTTTTTTTGAGTTTTTGACGTTTTTGACGACGAGTTTCGCTTTCTTGTAGAGTCTGTGGTAGAGCATCTAGGCCATGCGTTCATGCAAGCCATTGGTGCAGTTTTCGTCCTCGAAACCCCAAACCCATCACAGTACTTGATGATGAGTGGTGCACTATATACATATTCCTGTCGAGGCTGCATTCCGATGTTGTCTCGAGGTTTTCAGTGTATGATAAGCTGTAAGCTGAATACGGCTAAGAGGAGACTTATATTGGTCCGAAAATCGATCCATTGCTGCTGTGACTAAAATGACTCAGAAATCATTATTCGATTTTCTCAGATAGACCACTTTACATTACTGCGGATACTATGCGAGATCCAATCGTGGTGAACGCTGGACGTCATGGTTTCTTCAGACAAAATTACGACGAACATGGCTGGAGGAAAATTGCGAGACAGCTTATGGAGGATCATAGGGTGATCTAGTTTACTGATACATTAATTACTGTGAAGTATGATTTGTCGCAACAAACTCAGGATCTTTCTCGATTGAGGCCGCCGTTAATACTTTGCGGCAGCGTCAGTCGACATGGGAAAGTATAATGAGTATGATCTAGCGTCTGCCAACTTCTACCAGCGTCCGGAAATTATAAGTATCAAGCGTTTACCAGCGTGTGCCAACGTGCACCTCCGTCTCCTAGCATCCAGGGCGACGGTAAACGGCAAAATCGCACTTCAGCATCCGGCCTTTGTGAGCGGCGGTCGCGGCGCGGTTTCGGCACTAGGGCATCATGGTCAACTATCGTCACCAGCGAGTAACATCTTAAGTTGACTACTATGAACTCAACATGGGAATATCACCACACTATACTCACAAAAGCATCGAATCTTGTATAATAATGTTGATGATGTGGCGTTTCCCACTAAATTTCCGCATACTGCCGATTTGCACCATTTTTTGAAAAGTGGGCGGGGCTTCTTCAAAGTGGGCGGAGCATCTCACAGTGGGCGGGGCTTCACGCAGCAGCCCTAAAATGCAAAAATTTTGAAAAAATATCGAAATTCCGCGAAAAGCAAGTGGGCGTGGTCAGCCTAGATTGCCAAACCCTTTAGAGAATGGGCGGAGTCGGCCATGTGTCAATGCCCGGTGGTTTCCAGTCAAAGTGTTTGTGGGAAACAGCAAAAGCAGAAGTTATGAAACAAGATTTGAGAATCTATGTCCGCGCTGACAAGTGGGCGTGGCCGTCGGGGCGGGGCTCGCAGTGATGTCCCGCCCTAATAAGTGTGGTTAATTTGATGTGAAAAGTGAGGGTGAATTTGGTTTGAAAAGGGGTGAATTTGGTTTGAAAAAGGGTGAATTTGGTTTGAAAAAGGTGAATTTGGTTTGAAAAGGGTGAATTTGGTTTGAAAAAGGGTGAATTTGGTTTGAAAAAGGGTGAATTTAAAGTGAAAATGGTATATACAGTGCGGAGGATACGCATTGATTTATCCATTGAACTTTCAAGATAATCACTTTCAAGATAGATAAGGGTGTTCAGATAATCCCCGGTTGACTCAGCCGTTCTGAAGCATTTTGGCGAGCTTTTAGATTTGACCACATCAAACAAGTTGGTTGAGTATGGCGAGACTTTCTACATTCCTTTACAGTGATTGACATCT